ACTGTGCTGTGCCCCTCAGCAGCCCTCGAAAGTTGCGACAGTTTCACAGATCGCAGCCCCCCAGGGACGGGGAGGCCTAATTTGAGTCTGCGGTGGGTACCCACTGTGCTGTGCCCCATCAGCAGGGTACCCACTGTGCTGTGCCCCCTAGCAGCCCTCGAAAGTGGCGACAGTTTGACAGATCGCAACCCCCCCAGGGATGACGAGGAGTAATTTGAGTCTGCGGTGGGTACCCACTGTGCTGTGCCCCATCAGCAGCCCTCGAACGTGGCGACAGTTTCACAGATCGCAGCCCCCAGGGACGGCGAGGTCTAATTTGAGTCTGCGGTGAGTACACACTGTGCTGTGCCCCTCAGCCGCCCTCGAAAGTGGCGACAGTTTGATAGATCGCAGCCCCCCAGGGATGGCGAGGTCTAATTTGACTCTGCGGTGGGTACCCACTGTGCTGTGCCCCTCAGCAGCCATCGAACGTGGCAACAGTTTCACAGATCGCAGCCCCCCCGGGATGGCGAGGTGTAATTTGAGTCTGCGGTGGGTACCCACTGTGCTGTGCCCCATCAGCAGCTCCCGAAAATGGCGACAGTTTCACAGATCGCAGCCTCCCAGAAATGGCGAGGTCTAATTTGACTCTGCGGTGGGTGCCCACTGTGCTGTGTCCCTCCCTCAGCAGCCCTCGAAAGTGGCGACGGTTTCACAGATCGCAGCCCCCCATGGATGGCGAGGTCAAATTTGAGTCTGCGGTGGGTACCCACTGTGCTGTGCCCCTCAGCCGCCCTCGAAAGTGGCGACAGTTTCACAGATCGCAGCCCCCCAGGGATGGCGAGGTCTGATTTGAATCTGCCGTGGGTACCCACTGCGCTGTGCCCCTCAGCAGCCCTCGAAAGTGGCGACAGTTTCACAGATCGCAACCCCCCCAGGGATGGCGAGGTCTGATTTGAATCCGCGGTGGGTACCCTCTGTGCTGTGCCCCTCAGCAGCCCTCGAAAGTGGCGACAGTTTCACAGATCGCAGCCCCCCAGGGATGGCGAGGTCTAGTTTGAGCCTGCGGTGGGTACCCACTGTGCTGTGCCTCTCAGCAGCCCTCGAACGTGGCGACGGTTTCACAGATCGCAGCCCCCCAGGGATGGCGAGGTCTAATTTGAGTCTGCGGTGGGTACCCACTGTGCTGTGCCCCTCAGCAGCCCTCGAAAGTGGCGACAGTTTCACAGATCGCAGCCCCCCAGGGATGGCGAGGTCAAATTTGAGTCTGCGGTGGGTACCCACTGTGCTGCGCCCCTCAGCATCCCTCGACAGTGGCGACAGTTTCACAGATCGCAGCCCCCAGCAGCCCTCGAAAGTGGCACAGGGATGGCCAGGTATGAGGCAGGCTGGCACGCAGCGACGAGCGAGGTAAAAGGCAGGGGGGAGAAGAGGGACGGGAAGGAAGGAAGGACGAAAGGAAGGAGACGCGCGAACCGTGCTCTATTCAAAACGAGAACCCAACGCAGGAGGGCTGGGACAAAATTACCCTGTGACGTACCCAACCCATGTGTATCAATGGAAACGAGGAGTTGGCCGAAACTTGCATGGACAACCAACTTGATGTGTAAGCTACTTGGGACACGCGCCTATGGCATGATGCGCAGGAGAACCGTACAAGGACGAGGGGCGACAGCTACAGGCTCGAAGAGGACATGGGGAGTCGGGAGCGCAGAGCAAGAGACAAACGTGCGGGAAGCCGAACCATCAGCACGACAGCAGCAGAGGGAAGGTGACTGCAGGAGAAGAACAAGGACGAACACGGCGTCTAATTTGAGTCTGCGGTGGGTACCCACTGTGCTGGGCCCCCCCAGCAGGCCTCGAAAGTGGCGACAATTTCGCAGATCGCAGCCCCCCGAGGATGGCGAGGTGTAATTTGAATATGCGGTGGGTACCCACTGTGCTGTGCCCCATCAGCAGCTCCCGAAAGTGGCGACCGTTTCACAGATCGCAGCCCCCCAGGGACGGCGAGGTCTAATTTGAGTCAGCGGTGAGTACCCACTGTGCTGGGCCCCCCCCCGAAAGTGGCGACCGTTTCACAGATCGCAGCCCCCCAGGGATGGCGAGGTCTGATTTGAGTCCGCGGTGGGTACCCACTGTGCTGGGCCCCCCAGCGGGCCTCGAAAGTGGCGACCGTTTCACAGATCGCAGCCCCCCAGGGATGGCGAGGTCTATTTTGAGTCCGCGGTGGGTACCCACTGTGCTGGGCCCCCCAGCAGGCCCCGAAAGCGGCGACCGTTTCACAGATCGCAGCCCCCCAGGGATGGCGAGGTCTGATTTGAGTCCGCGGTGGGTACCCACTGTGCTGGGCCCCCCAGCGGGCCTCGAAAGTGGCGACCGTTTCACAGATCGCAGCCCCCCAGGGATGGCGAGGTCTATTTTGAGTCCGCGGTGGGTACCCACTGTGCTGGGCCCCCCAGCAGGCCCCGAAAGCGGCGACCGTTTCACAGATCGCAGCCCCCCAGGGATGGCGAGGTCTGATTTGAGTCCGCGGTGGGTACCCACTGTGCACAGATCGCAGCCCCCCAGGGATGGCGAGGTCTAGTTTGAGTCCGCGGTGGGTACCCACTGTGCTGGGCCCCCCCAGCAGCCCTCGAAAGTGGCGACAGTTTCACAGATCGCAGCCCCCCATGGATGGCGAGGTCAAATTAGAGTCTGCGGTGTGTACCCACTGTGCTGTGCCCCTCAGCAGCCCTCGAAAGTGGCGACCGTTTCACAGATCGCAGCCCCCCCGGGATGGCGAGGTCTAATTTGAATCTGCGGTGGCTACCCACTGTGCTGGGCTCCCAGCAGGCCTCGAAAGTGGCGGCAGTTTCACAGATCGCAGCCCCCCAGAGATGGCGAGTTCTAATTTGAGTCCGCGGTGGGTACCCACTGTGCTGGGCCCCCAAGCAGGCCTCGAAAGTGGCGGCAGTTTCACAGATCGCAGCCCCCCAGGGATGGCGAGGTCAAAGGCAAGCACGCAGCGACGAGCGAGGTAAAAGGCAGGGGGAGAGGAGGGAAGGAAGAAGGGAAGGAAGGAGACGCGCGAGCAGTGCTCTATTCAAAACGAGAACTCAACGCAGGAGGGTTGGGAACAAACATATGGCGGAACGCTTCCTACGAGCCGTAGACCCTTGGACTTCTCGACCCTGTCCGTGGGAGCAGCTGTTCATCCTGATCAGTTGTTTGACGCTGGGGCCCGATCAGAGACCCGAAATTGTGGGAAACTTACACCTCCACGACGTTTTATTAGAGCCACTTGAAGTCCCGACTCTTGCCCGAGGGCCTGGCTTCTCATCCTTCACCGTTCCTGGCGGCCTGGCGGCCCCGGCGGCTCATCGGTGAGGACCAGCAGAGGCCAAACACAACGCAAACCTGCCGCATTGGTTCTGCCAGTAATGCAGTCTAGGTCCCAGGCTCCCGACGTCGTGAGTTTCTTCAAAACGTGGACCCCCAGAGGTCGGGACCGCTTCTTTGGGACCAACTGTTCATCCCGAGTCGTGGCTTGGACGGCCCCGGGACCCGGCAACGGCCCCCAAAGGCCGAAGACTCTGGCGAAAGCCTCCCGCGGGGACTTCTGCACGGTGCGGGGGGGTCTGGGGTCTGGGGCTCGAGCCTGCACCCCTCTGGACATGGCAGTGCAACTTGAGCAGGTCGTATCCCCAGACATGCTCGCGTCGTAACAAAAATCAGGACGGAAGGTTTTTCGCTATTACTGGCCCCTGGGAGCCCTCGCTGAGCCCTGGGTCCGTCAAAAACGGCTCGGGACGAACAACCTGTCTTGGTGAAAGGGTCGGGAGTTCCGGGGACGCCATCCTGAAAAAGTCAGGACGTAGCATGCCTGGGTCACAGAATCGTCCAGGGGACCGCCCATGGGCGTATGGCCTCCCCGGGGCCCGAAAGCGGCGCCACCATAGGCCCAAAACGGAGACAAAAACCAAAATCGACGAGACATCAAGAATCGACGATGACAGTCGACTGCTTCTCCAGGACGGTGTAGATCGGCGACCCCCCCGGCAACTGGACCCCTCGGGGGTGTTCCAGAAGAGGGGGGTCCGAAGGTTGGGTGTTCCAATCGTGGCCCGCGGCATGTGCGCGGGCGAGGGGGAGGGGCACCACGAGACATGCCGAAACAAGAAGAGGCGCCATGACATCTGGAGAGATATCGCGGCCACGGCCATGATAGTTACCCTGAATATCGTTTAACCGATCCACATCCCCAGCGGCGTGGCCTGGGCCCTGCTGGCCGATTTACCCCCCTAGATTGGGATATGGGTCGTTCCCTTCGAGTTTCGAGGGGGGTATCCCCAACTGGGGTGGTAATTTGGTGGGGGTCTCGAAAGGAATGGAGATGAGGATGGGGATCGGTAAAACGATACCGAGACCCAAAGATCCGACGTTACCAAAACATACAACATGGCAGAAAGTCACGACTAGACCCCCGGACCCCATCCTTTGTGCGTCGTATTTCGAGCCAGATCGATACGTGGGGGTCTTGGGGCCCACATGGAGCGAAAACGGCCAACTCGAACAAAAAATTGCGCGCCAGGACCTCAGGGATGCCCCCCCTGGTCATTTTACGTGGGCGGCGAGGCAGACTTGGCTGCACCACCGCTAGAGCTAAACGGGGGCACCGAGAAACGAATTGGCCAACGTTCAAGAGCGGAGAGAGGACAGACACGGCGGCCGCGGATGGGTGTGAAGAAGAAGACGACGCCACTCAGCGGTGGCCTCTTCTCCCCCCTCCTGGTCCCAGACCCCTGACGTAATGATTTGTTCATAACATCGGCCCTCAGAGGTCTGGACCCATTCCTCTGGACCGGCTTTCCATCCCCAATCCTCCTTTGACGCTCCCGAGGCCCGTTAAAGGCCCCCGGAGGACGAACATATACTGAGAAACCTCCCGTCATGATATTTTGATTGCCCGAGGGGGTCTGGCGTCACCGCCCCCCTCCCAGCCGCGCCCCGGACCCCGCAGCGGCTTCGAATGCCCCGGCGGCCGGGCTGGACTGGGCCGCGGCGCTGGCGGGCAGCTGCGCGGAGCCTGCCAACCCAACCGCCGCGGCGGCGCCGGCGGCCTGGGGCGCCCGCAGCGGGGGGCGGAGGGCTCGCAGCCTGGAAGAGATCCGCATCCCCCATTGAGAAGGAGGAAGAGGAGGAGGAAGAGGAGGAGGAGGAGGAGGATTAGGAGGAGGATGAAGAGAAGGAGAAGGAGGAGGAGGAGGAGGAGGAGGAGGAGGAGGAGGAAGAGAGGAGGAGGAGGAGGAGGAGGAGGAGGAGGAGGAGGAGGAGGAGGAGGAGGAGGAGGAGGGGGAGTATGGATGACGGGAAGGAGGAGGAGGAGGAGGAGGAGGAGCAGGAGGAGAAGGAGGAGGAGGAGGAGGAGGAGGGACACTCAACCGAAAGAGAGACGAGAAGTGGGCAAGCGGACGAGAGAGGGCGAGAGGAGGGCAGGCGTACAGATTCTCCAGCTACTCCCTCTGCCTCCTCGGCCGCACGGGGCGGCGGGGCGCCTGCGGCGATGGAGCAGGAGAATGAGGAAAAGGGAGGAGGAGGAGGAGGAGGAGGAGGAGGAAGAGGCGGAGGAGGAGGAGGAGGAGGAGGAGGAGGAGGAGGAGGAGGAGGAGGAAAAGGACGAGGAAGGACAGGAAGAGGACCTCCCGTGTCGCCCCCCTCCTTCGTGTCCCTCTCCCCCTGGGGTAGCCCCCCTGTCCTGCTAGTGGCGCCACTTCAAACAACAGCCCTGCAGAGCAGGGCTGGGCTGGCTTGGATCGAAGATCCCTGCAGCCAATGGCTGCAGGGATCCTCGAAGGAGGAGGAATCAGGAGGAGGAGGAGGAAGAAACGAGGATGTGGACGAGAGGTAGCGCGAGGGTTCCAATGCACCGGAGCACGAACCCGCAACCTGGAGGACATACCCATCTCTACACTGTCCTGGAAAAACAAACACGCATCAATCGTCGATGTATTAGATCAATTCGTCGCCTGCAATTGCTGGTTTTTGTTTGCCTGTGCTGGCCGCCTTCGGACCCTGAGACCACCAGAAATGGACCCGGAATGAAGAGCTACCCCCATGGGAAGTCTCCGGGACGATTCTTCGACACGACCTGCAACAGTAGCATTGCTTGTCCACGAGGTGTAATAGGTACCGCCATGTGCTGGTGCCGATCCCAAAGCTTCGGCTAGCTTCTGAGGGCACGCCCTTGAATAATAAGGGTAGGCAGGAGAGCGAGGCCCGTGAGAGGAGGCCTCGCTGGAATCTGGCGAGGAAGCGCCGCGGGCAAATTCAGAAGGCGAGTGGCCCCGGTGACTTGGGCATTCCTGGGGCCCGATTGCGCATACATCCCCGAGACGAAACAAATCCTTTTGGGCCCAGAACGACGGCTTGAGTCTGGAGCAAACGCGCATGGGATAACCGCCGTCGGATCGCGTAAAATGCGAGCATATCCAATTGTGGCTTTGGCGTTTGCTTCGGTGGATCCGATTTCCGTCCCGGCGGATCCGATTTCGGACTTGCGGGATCCGTGTCCATGCTTGTTGTTACGGCAGATCGGATTTCTACCCCGCTTTAAACTTGTAGTATCAAATTAGAACGGGAAACCGGGAGAAATCGGATCCGCGGACCCCGGAGCCCGCCCGTGCGAAGATTCTACGGGGGGCTTCGGTCACTAATTTCCAGCTCTTCATCGCCTTTTGAAATCTTTCGTCCTGCGTCAGCGCGCTTCGGCCGTGCGTCTCCTGACCCAACAGATTGCCTGTGAGATGTGGTGTGTCGGCAATGTGTTAACCAACGCGTCCCAAGGCCAAAACGCCTCGTGCGTTTCGGCCCTGCGTCTCCTGACCCAACAGACTGTCTGTGAGATGTGGTGTGTCGGCTATGTGATAACCAACAAGTCCGAGGACCAAAACGCCCAGTGCGTTTCGGGTGTGCGATTCCTGACCCGACAGACTGCATGTGAGATGTGGTGTGTCGGCTATGTGGCAACCAACAAGTCCGGAGGCCAAAACTCCCAGTGCATTTCGGACCTGTGTCTCCTGACCCAACAGACTACCTGTGAGATGTGGTGTGCCCACTATGTGGTAACCAACAAATCCGAAAACCAAAACGCCCACCGCGCTTCGGCCGTGCGTCTCCTGACCCAACAGATTGCCTGTGAGATGTGGTGTGCCGGCTGTGGTAACCAGTCCGAAATCCAAAACGCCCTGTGCGTTTCGGCCCTGCGTCTCCTGACCCAGCAAACTGCCTGTGAGATGCAGTGCGTCGGCTATGTGGTAACCAACAACTCCGAAGGCCAAGGCGCCAGTTCGTTTTGGCCCTGCGTCTCCTGACCCAACAGACTGCCTGTGAGATGTGGTGTGTCGGCAATGTGGTAGCCAACAACTCCGAAGGCCAAAACTCCCATCCCCAGGACGAATCTGTTTTCCTCTTCGGCCCGGAACGATGGCTTCAAATCTTGAGCAGACGCGCGTGGGACAACCGCGGTCGGATCCCGTGAAGTGCGAGCGAAACCAATTGCGGCTTTGGCGCTTGCTTCGGTGGATCCCATTTCTGTCCGGGCGGATCCGATTTCGGACTTGCTGGATCCGTGCCCGTCCTTTTCACTACGGCAAATCGGATGTTTACCCCGCTTTAAACTTTTAGTATTAAATTAGAACGGGGAACTGGGAGAAATCGGATCCGCGGACACCGGAATCCGCCCGTGTTAAGATTCTACGCGGCAAGGGGGGTTCGGTCATGAACTTCCAACTCATCATCGGCATTTGCACCTCAAGAGGAAACTCGTTCGTCCTGCGAAAGTATACACAAGAATGCGCGCGGACCTTCCCCCGGAACTCCGCTCAGGAGAGCCTCCAAACTGGCCTATAAACTGCCCCGAGGGGCCCCCAAAACGGTCCAAAAGGGCGGTAAGTCTGCTCAAGCTCGCCACCGAACCCCAGATGGCCTCAGGACGGCCAGCGAGGCCCCAAGAAACACCAAGGGAGCCCCAAGAGCACCCCCAAGAGAGCCCAGAGATGCCCAAATCCTTCATTATCCTTGGGTCCTGGGAATATTTTAGTGTTCTAGCCTTTTGCGGCTTTCGACGCCCCAAGCCAGCCCAAAATGCCCCCAAGATCGCCCCAAAACGGCCTACGAGGCCATCAAAGCGCCCCGAGACGGCGGAAAAAGGTTCCAAAACGGTCCAAGAGGCCCCTAAGATGGACAAGTGGGGCCCAAAAGGGGCCCAAGAAAGGCCCCAGAGAGGGAACGCGAATCGACACTGAGGCCTTCGCCCCGAAATGCCCCCCCGAGATCGCCAGAAACCGGTCCAGAAGAGAACCAAATCAGGCCCCAAGGGGCCCCAAAAGACTCCCAAACCGAATCTAAGAGGCTTCCGAAAGGCCTCCCAAAAGATCCGCGACATCCCAGAGGCCTCAGATCTACAACCCAGGCACGGTGGCGGGATGGGGATCCGCTTCCCCCTGTTGATCAGAGCGGGGGCCGAACGGTCATTCACTGTCCCTGGGTGCGGGGTTGAGAAATAACTCCTCGGCGCGGATTCTGCTTGTTGAATTCTAATGTGTAAAGAATAACAATTGCTGATCCTCCCCCTCCGGTAACAATTATTATACTTTTCAATTGAAGTGCCCCATTCGGGGCTCGCACCCTTTTTCTTGTATAAGGGAAGGCTTGATGTCATCAAACTGCGCTCCTGGCCCCCGACTTACGAAAACAACGGCTCCTGCTTGATATTTCCTCACAACGTACTGCAAGCATCGCGTTTTCGCGCGGGACTTACAGACAAGTTATGCACGAATCGCGCCCTCGCGTGGGACTCCCTCGCAATTTACTCAGACGTCGCGCCCTCGACACTCAGGAATCACGCTCTCGTTGTGGCCTTTCTCACGATTTACTTCGGAATCGCGCTATCACTCGAACTCCCCTCGCGATTGATGCAGTATTCACGCATCAACAACACGCCTTCTCGACCTGGCCGCTTGGGCTCGCCTTCCGAAACCGCACGTTAAGGCCCATCCACCTAATGAACATATATGGTGCTGCCACGTGCGTTTTGCTCCTACCCCCCCTCCTGCTAATCCCACCAACCCTCTGGGCGTCGGTGGTTTAGGGAATTTTCTCTTCCACCCCTCCTTCTTCCCCTTCGGGGAGGGGTTTATCCCTCCCTCTACCCCCTCCCCATGAACCTGGACAAGGGGTTCCGCGAGTCGTCGGAGCGTCCAAAACGGCCTCGGCGAGGAAGCCAAAAACCATTGGTTTCAAGATGGTGTTGGCCCCATTTTGGCCTCCTGAGGGGGGGGGCCTCATTAATGCTCCCCTCTTGTTTGATCGATCTCCTCCAAGTTGGCCCCAAGAAGCGCCCAGGAGGCCCCACGAGGTTCCAACATGGCCCCAAGATGGCCCCAAGAGGCCCCTAACAGGCCCCAAGGAGGCCCCCCAAAGGGTCCCAAGCAGCCCAAAGATGCCCTCCCGAGGCACCCAAGACACCGAAGAGCCCCCCACGACCGCCAAGAAATCCCCGAGACGCCCCAAGACGCCCAAAAGATACCCCGAGAGGCTCCGAGAAGTATCCAAGAGACCTCTGGCCGTTTTGTTTGCCTCCTCCTCCTCCTTCCTCCTCCTATCGCTTCTCATCCTCCTCCTCCCCCTCCGCCTCCTCCCCCTCCTCCTCCTCCTCCTCCTCCTCCTCCTCCTCTTCATCCTCCTTCTCCCTACTCCCTCATCCATCCGTCCAAATTTCTCCTTCGGCCCCTCTCTCCTTCACACGGTTGGGCCGTCCCCTTCTTTGCTCCCGCACTTCCCTGATCACCTCTCAACTTCCTTGGAAATCGTTTCTGGATGGGCTGGTGGGGGTACGCGAAGCGTCTAGAATTGTTTGCTCCATCCTTGTCTCTCCCCATTCCATCCGTCGGGCCTTCCTCTGATTCAGGGGCCGCACAGATTACACACGGCAGGCAAGGAAGACATGCCCTCAGTGAAGTACGATAGAAAAAGAAGAACGCGGACACCGAGGATTTGGGATATTCCTGTTGAGTGGCACGCGAGCTGGTAAGAACGAATAGTCTTCAAATGATTGTTGTTGTCGTTGTTGTTGGAAGATTCTCTTTTATAAACATGTTTGTTTGATCCCCCGTCTGTGGTATCCTTTTATCCTTTCAATTCGGATGTTTTTTCCCTGGGCTCGCACCGTTATTAAACAACGGAACAACAAAAAAAGGTCACCAACCTGCTTTGTTGGGCCCCGGTTTGCAACAACAGCAAAGGCTCCCGCCTGATACACCCGCGCGCGTTATTCTAAAATTGCGCTCTCGCGCTGGACTTCCTCATAAGTTATACAGAAAGCGCGCTCTCGCGTGGGATTTCTTCGTACTTTCTTTAAGTTGTTTTGGACGCCGCGCGCAAGACACTCAGGAATCACGCTGTCGCTTTGGATGTCCTCGCGCTCTATGTGGGAATCGCGCTATCGCTCGAGCCCTCCTCGCGATTCATGCGAGACGCACGCTTCAATCACCCGCCT